CATCCGCTGTCTTGTTCATAACATCGAACAATAACTATATAGTACGGATACTTCAAAAAAGTAAACGTACCTGTATCCGATACGTATTCGATACGATACTTGTAGGATGCTTCTGCATATGTATCCCATATTCTAACATTTGTTATATGATTTTTTTTCAATAATTTTTTACTATATCACTTAAAAATTTAAAAAAACACTTAATATTTTAGTTAATTACTATAAATATCTTTATATTACTTTAGAAATTCTTGTTTAAAAATCAAAATACCTATACTTACATCACAAAATGTTGAAATATACATTATAAATATTCCCGCACCTGTATCCTAAAATTTTGAAAATTTGTCGTATCCCCGTATCATGCCATATTGTATTTGATACTCGTATCCGTATCTATGCAACCTAAAACAATAATCTCATGAACCTTTCCTGGTTGGTCATATTGGCGGTGTTGTAGTAACCGTTTCTGATGCTCGTGTCGACTGTGGAGAAGAAGGAGCAGTTGGAATAGCGAAGCAAGCACTGGTCGTTCCAGATTATGGCCTCCTTCGAGAACCTGCACTCGGAACGGATTCGCTGGCTCGCGTCAACGACGCATTCGTGGCACAACTGGAGGGTGACGTCACCACGACACATGAAGAGGCCGTATACAGTGTCGCCGCCCTTGGCTACGGTGGTGTTGTAGAAGTGGACATTGGAGACGGCGGTGGAGGTTAATGAGGAGAAGAGGGTGGTGAGGTCCGATTGATAGGCACTATTAGCAGTGAAGTTTCCGTCAGTAGAGCAAGCGTGGACGAGATAAAACGTTTGAGCTTCAGTAGTGGAAGAACAGAGGAAGCAAATAAAGAAGAAAAGGACGAAAGTTTTGTGGCATCCCATAATCACAAACGTCATGGTAAGGGGTAGTGATGCGCTGTGTTAATTAGTAGTGTTTTTGAGGTGTGTTGAAGGCAAGTGTGTGGGGGCTTATATACAAGCTTAAAGACATTTTTGTCCTTCAAATATTTGTTAGGATTGCACGTCTAGTGTCTTAAATTTATATGTGACATAATTTTTCTTTAATATTTAAAAATGATGCACTAGTGATATTGATTGACATATAAAATAAAAAAAACTTAAAATATTACATTAAGGACAAATAAAATTACAAATAAATGTTTTATAAAAATTAATATTAATTAAGTCTTTAAATCAATATGATGGAAGCTCTTCAATTTGCTTCATCAAACTTTGGCAAGATTTCTTGTTTGGATTTGATTCTTGGACTATTCCTCGTCACGGTCGTGGTCAATAAATGGAAGATGGTGGATGTTTATTGGTAGATGATAAATGAAGACGATGGACTTTTTCTTCAAAAAATTTTTATAGGTATTCTAATTTTTTAAAATATAGCTATATTTATTATTATTTTTTATTTCACTTTCATTTTTTTATTGAACATACTTTCAAACCCTACCTAATTTTTCACTTCTATTTCTATTTCCACCAAAAATATTTCTTTGTTATTAAATGAGACATAAATAAACAAGTAGTAAGATTAGAAGAATCATTAATTATTTTAAAAAAAAAAGTTTTAAAATTATGCAAATGAGGACTCCTAGCTGGGCTCGCATAGGCAGTCAAATAATTGGGTCCCATTATTGACATTAATTTTCTCTTCTTGTCTATGTTGATCGACTTTTCTTCTCTTCAGCCTGAAAACACACCCGTCCGCAAAACGTTGTCTTTGTGAAAAGAATCGTGACTTAGAAAGGAATTTGCACCAGGAAAAAAAATGATAATAAAGTCTTTCAAATTATGTAAATAATATTTTAAAATATTAAAATATCATAATATCATAATTCTTTTAAAGTTTTTAAAAACTTTTCTATCATTAAAGAATTAATATAAAATTTAAATTATTTTGTTTAAAATAAAAATCCTATGCCTTAGAATAGATATTTTGCACTCTTAATTTGTAGGTTTTGTTCTAAAATTTATAACTTTTTTTTTAAATCGTAAGAATTCAATAGTAATTTACCAGTTTGCATTTGAAATTTTAATATTCTTCAAGTGTTGCAAGTATCAATTGCCATTCATAAGTTTTGTTCTAAGATTCATAATTTTTCTTTTTAAATTCACAAGAATTTAAATTAATTTGTAAGTTCACATTTAAAATTTTGATATTTTTTAAGTGTTGTAAATATCAATTGTCATTCAAAAGTTCTGCTATGATATTAACAATTTTTCTTCCTAAAATTATAAAAATTTAATAGCAATTTGCAAGTTCGCAAGTATCTATTATGAAGCTTAGGATTTTTCAATCAAGGATAATTTAGTCTTTTACATTAATTTCTCAATGACAAAAAAGTCCTTAGAGATTTTAGAGAAATTATAGTATTATGAGGAACCAAAATATTATTTAGATAATTCAAATAGATTTTAATGTTATTTTCCCTTTGCATTATTAAAATCCTGTTTTTTCCCCTTACTATTGATTAATATTCCCCGCTAACTATCTGGGATACATACCTATATGAGTGATGGAATATGGAATAATGGATAACTTGACTAACTAGGATTTCTTCAAGATATACATTTGGATTACTCATTAGGGATAATTAACTAAGCATATTTATCCATTAGGATCATGATCTATTATTTATTTTATCATTATCTTATATATTAGCATCTTTATAATTTGAACTAAACCTAAGATTCAAATTTAAATTATTATTTCTTTTATCATTTTTAGGGATCTATCGATAGAATTAGAGTTTTCAATTAAATGGGCTTTTAATAAAGGAAAAATATAACTTTAGGTTCCTGCACTTTGTTTGAGTTTTGTTATATGTTCTTATATTTTTTTTTTGATATTCTCAATCTCTACACTTTTATTTTTTGATATTTCAGGTTTCTATAACACCATAATTGAGGAATTTAGAGCACTGAAAAATAAAAATATAGGGACCCAAATGCTTCATCTGTCCCAAATTATAAAGCAGTTTTAGAAAAAATCTCATCACATACCAATAAACCTTATTAAATATACTTAACAACTTTATTTTTCTAAAATAAAAATATAAACTTTTAAAAATATCAATAATTTAATATAATGAAAAAAGAATGGATGAAAACTAATTATAGAGAGAGAAAGATTAATATTAAAATAAGCCTATTTAATGAAATTTTAATCTTTTCTAAGTGTCTTATATTTTGGCAGGGCCATGTCATAGGATTTTAAAGCCTAAGGCAAAATAAGTAAAGAGGCTTAATATATAATAAATTATCAATTCTTATATTACTTTTTCTAGCTTTTTGAGTTGCAAAATCAGATAACAAAGTTTTGTAATCAATTAATTCTAATATTTCACTCTTAATATATAATAAGACTAGTCCATTTCAATCGATCTTGTAATATATTTGATTTCAAATATGATTTGAGCAATTTTAATTTTGAAAAACTTATTTTTGCAGTAGCAATTGTTATAGATATTGTTAATAATATTCTATAAGCAATACAAACATTTGGAAAAGTATCTAATCTTTTGACATAGTTTAATATTTTAACTGTTGTGTTAATTTCTTCTGTTAATATTTCTCAAAAATTTTAATTATGAAAATAAATCAAAACCATCAATATTATAATTGTCATTAAAACTTAAGAACAATATTAATACAAAACTTTTTCAATTCATCATCATCCAAAGTTTTAAATTTTTTGGATTCAAATAAAAAATAAAAAATGATTTCATATTCTAAAAATTGTTCAAATTGACTCTCAATAGAAGAAATTGATTGATTTAAAATTTATAAAAATATTCAATATGAAAAGAATCTTCAGCTGAATTTATGATCTCATCATTAATATTTTCATTAAAATATTTTTTTCCTATAATTATACATTTTTCATGAAAATTAGGATTTATGTTCATTTCAATAGCTATAATTTTTTTTTTGTAAATTCCAAAGTAGATGCAAAACCATTTTTTCTATAATTCTTTAAATAAGTAATAAAGCCTTTTAAATGATATATAGCGACATCTATGTGCATATATGTGGACTAAAGGATCTTACAAAATATAGAGAATTGTAGTCTGTAGAAAGGGAATAAATAATTATTAATAACTAGATTAAGGCTAACTTAATAATTAAGTATTATTTTGGGAATGTGGAAATATTTTCATTCTTCAACAGGGAGAAGAATTGGGGCTTTATTTTTTTCATTTAGTATTTATTACAAAATTGTACAAATAAATATCCCTTCATATTAGGGATATTAATGACCTTTTTTTGGGGCATTAAGGTTTAACAAATCTAATAAATTAAATTACAAGACTAAATTAAAATTAAATAAATTACAGGTACCTAGCTCAAAATTGAGAGAACTTAGCTAGAGGTAACTTATAATCTATATGTTTCCTATTACTTGACCTGAATCTATATTTTGCACCATAAATAAATTACAGGACCTATTCAAAATTAAGAGAGCCCTAGTCCTATTTATAAGTAATTTTTAGTATGGTTTATTAAAATAAAAAAAAATTAAATCTCATTAGTTTTGTCTTAGAATTTAATAAATTTTCATCTTTACACCCTAGTAAAGATAAAAAGAAATATTATTAATAATTTCCTAACATTTAATGAGGACATCAAGGTAAAAGGACAAATATAGAAAATAATAAATTATTTTATAAATAGAATTAAAATTAATCTTCTTTTATTACTCCCTCTATCCCAAATTATAAATTACTTTCAGAAAAGATTCAACGTCTCAAAATATAAGACACTTTGATAAAAATAAAGTTTTATTAATGATACTTTTTGAAAGTTACCTTTCCCATATATTCTCTTTCTTTAATATTCTTTTATTAATGGAGTATTAAATAAAGGGTATTTTTAAAAGTTTATATTTTTGTTTTGAAAAAGTAAAGTTGTAAAGTGTATTTAATAAATTTTATTGATGTATGTATGAAATTTTATTTAAACATATTTTATAATTTGGGACGCAGAGAGTATCATATGAATAAAACCACCGCTATTGCGCCAGAAGAAATAAAAGGTACCAAAGTTTTCTTTCTTTCTGTCTTTTTACCTTTGGGATGCGAAGAATTGTTCGCCGGAGGAGAAAGTACAGGTGGTGTCGGCGTCGTCCTTCCTACTTGAGTATTACGATAGAAGCGATACGAATCATAACGAACGTTGCAACTCGGATAAAAAGCCATTCCTCCTGACATGCCCTCACAACACCCTGGAAGTTCCTGAATCGCACCACCCAGACACCTTCTGCAATCATGGGGCCAAAGGTCCGGCGTGCACTGAACAAGGCAATACAGAGTTCGAGACGACCCTGAAATTCTCTCTTCTTTCGTCGCATACTTCTTTTTCCCCAAAGCCGGTTGCGCCGCCTCGTCCGCCGCCTCGTTCATCGTGGTCAGCAACGAACTCGTCAGGTTCACCTCGTCGGATATATTAGATGTGGTCCAGAGGTAGAAGCTTAGTTTAGGCGATGTGTCTTCGGTGGAGAAGATGACGCGGTTGGAATAGCGTAGCATGCACTCATCGTACCAGATTGCGGCCTCCTTCCAAAATTTGCACTCCGAAGGTAAGCGTTGGATCGCGTTAAGGACGCACTGGTGGTACAGTTGAAGGTTGACGTCACCCCGGCACATGAAGAGGTCATATACGGTGTCGCCGCCGCCAGAAACGGTGAGGTTGAAGAACTCGGCGTTGGTGGCGTTGTTGGAAGCTAAGGAAGAGAGGAGGGTGTTCAGGTTGGATTGAAAGGCACTATTGGCAGTGAAATTTTCTTTGTTTGAGCAGGCGGGTAAAAGATAATTAGTTTGCGCTTTTGTGGTAGAAGAATAGAAGAAGTGAATGAGGTGCTAGAGTAAGAAAATTTTGCAGGAATTAGCCATGGTAACGGTGAAGGATGTGTAAGGGGTGACGAGATCGACGATGGCTTTCTAGTTCGTGGTGTTTAATTGATTATGTGTTGCAGTGGGAGAGAAGGTGGTCGATTGATGAACGAGGGAAACGCTCGCACAAGTGATGGAAAAGATATATGATTTGATTTAGTATTGAAGGTTTATTATTATTTAATTAACTATATAGGTTTAGTATTATTTGATTTAGCATTTACAGTTTATTTTATATGTAAGCATTACATCAAATAAAATAAGATATTTAGATTAGTTAAATACCTTATATTATTATCTATTGATTCTAGGTAGGGGTGTTCACGGGACGGGACGGGACGGGACCGGGACACCCCCGTCCCGTGTCCCGTCCCCAAAAAAAGATCGGGACAGAATTTTGGTCCCGTGTCCCGTCCCGTCCCGAAAGTCGTCCCGTCCCGTTAAGAGTCGGGACGGGACCGGGACAAGATCGGGACGTCCCGCCGTCCCGATAAATGGAATAACATCGAAAAAAGATCTGAATAATAACGTTCATTAAAATTTTAAATCATATAATTTATTAAGTTTAAAATCAAAACAACACAAACACATAAATAACAATAATTTAAAATCAACTATTGAATTATATTAATCATAACTACATATTATAATGACAAATACAAGTGATTTTTATGCTATAAGATTAGCAACAGGCAAGTCAAACACAACATCAAATCATTATTCTTCTATTTTAGTGAAGGTGTACTAAGCTAATTACTCTTCTAAAAATAAGCAAGAAATATGTTATAAATAAAAGTTATTAAATAGATAGATATAAGAATAAATTATATTAATATAATTAATATATTATAAAGAAAGATATCGCCATATTTACTCCATACTATTAAAATTATCAATATAAAAAACTTTAGTTTTAAATAAGAATTGCAAGTATTAAAATTATAATTGATATAATTAATATAAGTATAAATTATATTAATATAATTAATATATTTAAAATAAAAAATAATATATATAATATTCGGGACGGGACGGGACGTCCCGATGGTAATCCCGTGTCCCGTCCCGTCCCGAACCCCTTTTCTGTCCCGTCCCGTAAAGTCCCGTCCCGATTATTTTCGGGCCGGGACCAGACCCGTCCCGATATGATCGGGACGATACCGGGCCAATCGGGACGGGTTTAGGCTGAACACCCCTAATTCTAGGTAGATTTGAATTAATTCTTTTATTATTTTAAGGCTCTGTAAACAGAATTAAAATTCCACATGTGTATTCATACTTGAATGTTGAATACAGTTTTCTCTTTTTTTTGGGGGAGAATTTCAACTAAGAACCATTATAGAGACTTAATTTGATTTGGGTCCCAAAAAATTTAAAATTTTAATTTAATTCAAGAAAGAAAAGTTAACAGAATTTTAACATTAAAAAGATCAAGATACTCTTCATATGTTATATAAAATCACTAGTTATTAATTTTCTTATTGCACTTGTTAATTTACTAATATCATTTGTAAATTATATCAGTTTGCTAAATAATCAATAATATTAATTGTTAAGTTGCTAACTTTACTTGTTAATTTACTAATATCAGTTATAAATTATAAGACCTGTTAGTAATTTACAATGGGTGTTGGTAAATTACGATGCCTATTAGTAATTTATAACTAAATTAACAATTAAAGTTAGTAATTTAACAACTGATATTACTTCTTATGATTGAAAAACTCTTATATAATTACTGACATGTCAACTCATGCAATTTACAACTCATATTTATAAATTAATAAGTGAAGTAAGAAAATTAACAACTAATAATTCTCAATAACAAGGATATTTTGGTTTTTTTTCTGTTAAAATTCTTTTAATTTTTCTCTTTTAGATTGAACTAAATTCCAAAAAAAAAAACTTAAACTCATGTAAAATTAAGTCTCTATTGTCATGCCCCAAAAATATAGGGTAACCGGTATGGGTGCAACCCACTCACACATTCCTGTAAGCCACAAAATGAAAATTTATTCCATTTTTACAAAGAAAAGAATGAAAATTAATCAAATTACATGAGAATTAAAATAATATATATATATATATATATATTTATAAGCTAATTGTCATAAGAAAGTGTTGACATTTTTGTAGAAATTTCGGAAAAACCTCCCCTATAATTAGGATCTCTCGAAAATTTTACAACAAAAGTTTCTACAGATAATGATATAAATCAGGAGCATAGCTCCTTCCAACCAACAACCAATATATAAACCAAAATAAAGTCTACCAACAAGCTATGTGGAGCATCTACTTTTTCTTTTAACTCAAAAAGACATACAAATTATATATTTACATTAAAAGCAATAGTACCAATCAAAAATTTTCACCCACTGTAGTTAGGTTGCCCTTCAGAGATCAAGGGGGATCAACGTCGACTAACAAATCTGAGACCAAAAATAAGTTTTTTAGTAAATAGCATTCCCATCGTAAAATTCTTAAAATTTAAAATCAACAAACTCTAATAATGGTGCCAACTAATTAAAAATAATTCCTCAAGATTTTATAAACCTGTAAGTCACATCCTTAATTGTAAAATATGAATAAGTTGAAAATAATTTACGCTATAATGTTTAAAAAAATAATTTATTCACATATAATTTAAGTGATAAAATTAATAGCCAAAATCATATAAATTTTTGGAAAACACTTTAATCAACATGTAAAATTTTGAGAACTCAACAGAGCAAGTTACAAATGTGGACATATAATCCATGAGGATAAATAACCAAACGCGGCTTATGCCACGAAAACAAACATGGATACACCAGTCCACAAGGACAAGTAATCAAACACAGCCAAAGCTACAAAACAAACGTGGACACATAGTCCACAAGGGTAAATAACCAAATGTGGCTCAGGCCACGGAATCAAACGCGGGTACAAAGCCCACGAATACCAAACATGAAAGTAAAGCTCACGAAACAAACTAGCTAGTATTTAACTACAGCGTACTACGGGCTAACGGAATTGCCGTTAGCAATAGTGTTCTGTTTAGAATCCTTTTAAAATCATGTTTCAAATATGCAAGAAAAATAATTATTACTATAATAAAATTTCCATTCTTGATGCCGAACTCACATGATTTGTTTCAAATCTCAAATTTTGTAAAAGCCATACTTTATAGCTATTACACCAAACTTACAGTACTTGGGTAGTCAATACATTTCTAAACTTAACAACATTCAAGAGCATTTTTATCAATCTTGGAGATACATTTTTTGATAATAAATAAATTCACATATAATAATTCATTTGTCCTTTACCAATATTCTATAATTTTTAAAATTAATGTAATTCAAAAAATTAAAATGGTTCAATAAAAGTCTACGACAATAAAATAAATCAAGGGAATGCTATTCACTTATTCTAAACCAACTAACTCAATAATTCAACTTAGCTTGGATATTTTGAACTATATATAGATCATTGTTATACCTCATGATATATATATTTTTCCAAGCTCCATTGAATTTCTTTCTTTTTCCATTTTTTCACACAGCAACAAGACCAAAAATTTATAATTACCTTAATACCACCCCAGCCACTCACACGCATAGATTTACGAGGAGAAGGAAGAGATTGAAGCTTCTAACCTTAAATGAATCAACACGCACGGACAGAGGAAGGAGAACGATTCTAAACAGTGAAGAAGAAGAGCTACTGCCATGAATAAAGAAGAGTAAGCTTACTAGTAATCGAAAACGAACTAAAAGGAAGAGATCTTAGCTTACCCAGACCATTTATACACACACGAACAAGAAGATAAGAGAAAGAGAGATTTTTTTTCATACTTGAATCTACAACAAAGGCAAACAAACAGCAGCAACTCGTGAACGAAATCATAGCTGAGGTGGACGGACGAGCACAGCTTCAACGACAACCACGTGAACGACGGTGCTAGCTTCGGTTGAGGAGGAAGAAGATAGTGATCAGTGAGAGGTAGAGCAAAGTGTCGGTGCTTCCAGATCTCTCTCTACTCCAGATTTTATCAAGAAAGAAGGAAGAAAGAGTTTTAAAAAAATTTTCGATGGAACTAAGGGCAGTTTGGTAATTTTGCATAGCCAGAAAAAGAAAAAAATTTAACTCTTCTTTTGGTCTCTTCTAGATTCAAACTAGGGACCTGATATATGAAGGATTGCTCAGCTATTACTAGACTAAGTCTCTAACTTGTTATATTTATCCCAAGAACTAATATAAATATACTTTAAGCAAGTTAATCTATATATATATTTATTTATTTTAAATTTTGTCAAAGTTATTACATCTACGGTGGTTTTTAACTAAAATTCTCTTTTTTTTTTCTTCTCTTTCTTTTTCCTTATCTTTCTCGTCCTGTTTCACAGTAATTAGCATCAGATATTTAACTATTTATATCCAATACCACAAACTCCAACAACGCTACAGTCTTGATCACCCCTCTCCCGACGCCAATTCACAATGCAATTACCACCAAAATTATGTTCATCTTGGAGAACTCGGCCAGACTACCAAAGCACGTCACGTGAGGATGCCACACGTGCCTTGACGCACCAATCAACGTCTCTCCGCGTGAATCTAATGCCTCGCGCACTGATCCTCCTTCCCCATTCGTGAACTCCACCTGCCTACTCTCACACACTTGTCGCACGCGTTGATTTTATATTTGAAAGGTAACTTTCAAATTTTATATTCATAATTTCATATGAGTTATTATCATGAATGTCCATGTAGGGAGTGTCGAAATCATTGTAGCATCTCGCCCTAATATGTTTGGTATCTGTAATGTTGTGAAGGGTACCAGCAGAACATGTATGATGAAACGTGATACTACTGGGATGTGCATGGCCAATAGTGTGAGGTTGAAAATGAACGTTAGATGACTGAATATGAATGTCAGATATATGAATGTTTTGAGGGCTGAATTTGAACGGGGCAGGGTTGAAGCTAAAGCTGAATTGGAACGTGACATCCAAGAAAGGGTTCACATATATGAAAATGTATTAAAAGTTTGCTAACAAATTATAGAATCATTCAATAATTAGTGAAATCAGGCAATCAAGCATAAAGAGGTTAAAACTCCTGCACTATAATAAGAGGAGTTTGTAACTCTTGTAGAGCTCAATCATGAGAATGGTTTGGCCACTTCAACATCTTTATCACAACTAACTCCATTAAAAGCTCCTATACTTACTGTGAGTGTATGAGCGGTGCCTTTTCAAGTTGTCATCAGCTAAAACCAACCTTGTTAAGCTACACAATTTCACCTTATCTATGAGGTGTACCCACCAAGGATATCCTATCATTTAACAAATAACTTCAACAATAACTTGTCATTTAACAAATAGCTTCAGCATGAACCACTGAAGTCACAAACTGGGGAACTACAAGAGCAAAACCACCATAGCTGAAATTAAAGATAGAGGAAGAAGGAAGACTGATGTTAGTTCACCAATATGGAGGGACTTCATGTTTTTATAAAATTGTGATTCATTCGTTATCACGCATGAAATAGTGTAAGTTAGAATAGAAGCCTAAATGAAGAACTCATTATCATGATAACCAAACTTGATTCAAGCATGACTGGAACTTCTAGAATGCCTAGGAGTCTCAAACCTATGATTAACACATTAATGAATCGTGATTCAAGCATTAATGACAAAGGCAGAACTAATGAAGTGTTTCTAGGTTCTCATTATTATGTTAAAGCATACTGGTTCACATGTGAATGAGTTGGGCAGAGTCAATAATCATTTCTAGAAGGATGATTCACAGGTGAATAAAGCCTCTTCATGCGTGAACTCAATGTGATGTCTTTAAAAAGATTTTTAAAGCTAAAATCATATGACTCTATGCATGTTTTCTATTTCACATAGTTTTAGTTAATGGGGAGTAGAGTAGGTAGGGTACTACCAATTGATATCATTGTTGGGACCATGATTGCACTATTAACCTTCTTCGTTGTTAGATCTACAACACAATACCGGGCGTTGTTTGTGAGAGATTGGATCCTCACCAATAATTCATTCCTTCTTATCTACACTAACATTTAATAATATGGAAAGAGGATGACATGGAGATAATATGGGTAGATAGCAGGTCTTTGCATGCCATGATAAATGATACAAATGCGAGGTACTATGATTCAAATGTTGGCCCGTTCCACTCCTATAGCCCAGCTAAGAATGGAATCCCCAAGTGTGTCACCACTCTAAGTTCATAACTCCAACGAGCTAGAAGATCAATGGCAGAGATGGCCGTGGTACGAGCAAAATGGCGACCTCCAAAGCCTATAGTGGAGCTCGTCAAATGATGACACCACAAGAACAAAATGTCATAGCTATAGCAGCCATGGTCAGTACAAGTTAGGAGCGAAGATATTGTTCCATTAATTCTAGGCTCTAAGCAGGAGCGTTTCCAATATGATATTTGATAGGATATCCAAATTATGCATGTGCAAATCGTGATAGCCAGTTCGACAAATATGAGCTTCTCTAAAAGCCCAATCATATGAAATATCCCAATCTCGCATAAGCAATCTTTTTATATCTTCTGTATTACCGAAAGCAAGGTGAATTCTATCTCGGAGTTTTGAGATTTTCAATAGCTTCAATGGAATCAAAACACATATTAATCATTCTCAGATCTTATTGATGAAAGTCTTCTGAAATACTCATCAACCTCAGCAGTAGTAAACAGATTTTTAAAAAAAAAAGAAAAAGAACTCAAAAAACGTAATCGAAACCAATTTACATGTCTAAGAAAAGTAATTGCATTTGCATGATTGTCCGATTTTAGGAAGCTTTCATTCATTTTCAGCGTGCTGCTCCACTCTAGCGGTATTTGTCTCTCTGGGAAGGCAGTGTCATTAATAATTGGGTCCCATTATTGACATTAATTTTCTCTTCTTGTCTAAGTTGATCGACTTTTCTTCTCTTCAGCCTGAAAAGACACTTTTTCATTCCCT